TAATTTTACCACAAAATAAAAAATAATTAAACAATAAAATAAAATTAAAAAAATATTAATATATTTATTATATTAGATATAACAACATAATTAAAATATAATTAATAATATATATTTATAAAATTATTAATATTTTATATATAAAAAAAATGAAAAAAAATTTAGTGGGGGCAAGTGCCCTCACTATGATTAACTTAGATCTGTCCCCGCATATGGTTTGTGGTGAAATGTTAGTCTTGTGTATCCTCTTCCTTTACTTCAGGTTCTACCTCTTCAAGAACAAGTTGTTGTTGGGGTACATTGTTAATGACTTCAAGGAAAAATACCATGTCATTTCATCCTTTACTGGTTTCAATTAGGTCCCTAATAAATTAATTAATTTCAATGTGGGACTTCCGTCTAAATTTCTTTAACGGTGTTAACTGTTGGCCACGTGGATGCCACGTAGATGACACGTGGATGCCAATTTTTTGAAAATACCTGGAACCAAAACGGCCCATTCTGAAACCAGAACGGGCCGTTCTGGTTTCACTTTTAGTGTGTTAATTTTGCAACTGGAACGGGCCGTTCCGGATGCAAAATTAACACATCAAAAGTTCAACCAGAACGGCCCGTTCTGGTTCCAGTTGTTTTTAAAAAAAATTTCCATCTACGTGGCATCCACCTATGCATCTACGTGGCATCCATGTGACGAACAGTTAACTCCGTTTAAATAATTTGGACGGAAGTCCCACATTGAAACCAATTAATTTATTATGGACCAAATTGAAACCAATTAATTAGTTTGGGACCAAATTAAAACAAAAAATAAAAATAAGACTAAATTGAAATAAACAATTATTATAAGGGACCAAAATAGGTTTTTAGCCTTAAACAATCAATTATAAAGTTACTTATACAAGTAATTGGTTCGGTATAAGCAGAGCTGGTTTTTACAATAAATGTTGCCGCAATGACAAAAAAAAAAAAAAGAGGTAAGCAGTAATTGTTTAGAGTTAAACAATAATTGCTTAAAGTTAGATAACTACATTGGAGTTGCTCTCAAATACATTCGATGAATTGTATGATATATGTAGAGTTTGATTAGTTAATTCTAAATAACTAAAGATAGTTAAGATGCATGCTTAAATTAATTTTAAAATTTTATATATTATTAATATAAATATTTTACATTTATGATCAATATTTTTAAGTAATTATTACAAAATTTAATAATTTTATTACATGTAATAATATATAATTTGATAAAAAAAAATTACACTATCAATATATTTTAAATAAATTAAACTCTCTCTCTCTATATAAATAGATAAATAGATATAAAAGAGAAGGATTTTAATGACAACATTTTTTTGTATTAAAATAATTAATAATTTTTTAAATTATAATAGATAATTTAAAATTAAAAAATATAAACAAAAATACTATTGTTATTGTTGCAAATTATTGTTATTATTATTGTTGTCAATCACCAATTACTTTAATTATTAACATTATTATCATCATCAATGCATCACAGTTATTATTGTTGTCAATCACCAATTACTATAATTATTAATATTATTATTATCATCAATGCATCACAGCTATTATTGTTACAATCACCATTATTATCGTTGAGTTGTTGCTACAACGGTGATGATTGTAATAATAATAGTAGTGTTTTTTTTATTATTACAGTGAAGTGATGGTGATAATGATAAAAATATGATTACAACCATATAGTGATAATATTGACGATATAATTGTCTTTTTTTTAGAAAAGAAAATTAAAAAACATACTAAAAAATAAAAAAAAATACTCATTTTATTAAAAATTTGAAGGAAAAAGTTTAATTAAATAAATTTTTATATTAACCATCCATCACAAATCATGATATAAATGAATTTTATAAAAATCAATTATAAGTCTATGACAATTTTTTGATTGCATGATAATATATAAAAAAAACATTTAAATTGTTAGTATATAGACTAGTTATTTTAATATATTAAAGGTAAGTTATGGTAAAATCATAATAATAAACAAAAAAAATCTGATAGTAATAAAAAATATTTGATAAAATTTTATAAATTGATTACTATATTTAATTTAAGATTTAGTTGATTAATTAAGTAAAAAATATATTTATTATAAACACTTTTTGTAAGAATATATGTTTTTGGTTAAGAGAAAAGAATGAATCTGAAATGAAGCGCGGGCCAAGAATAGAAAAGTTGACCCTATTTTTACTCAAACTCATAAAGACGAAGAGAAAAAAGGGAATGTGAGATTTTTGCAAATTTTGAGTCCAATCACCGTCGACTTGTAGGTTAAAATTCATCTCATCAAATTTCGTGGGTACGCAGTGGATCTAGCTTTTAAATAAATTCCATAACAAAATTAGCAAAATGAGACGTGTGTGGGTCACGCTCCCCGCTAGAGAGCGTGTGCATTGCACTTTCCGAACCCTACTACAATCACGAATATAGTACTCCTCATTCGGAGCTTGGAATTAGCGTTACGATGCGGAAATCAGGACCTGCTCATCTCCACAAATGAATAGGGATGGCTACAAATTTCTTAGCCTCATTTCACATTTTCCGCAACCAACCAATAACATTAATTAAAAAACCTGGTATAGGTATACGAATAATATATGCTTTGGACTTTGAAAATTTAGTATTATTAAATTAAACCCCCTCAATTAAAAATTAAAAATTAAAACCCAAAGACGCTTTTTGTCTTTTTGACGCGTTGGTTTGCACCTGGCTGTTAATAGAGCGTAACCCTTCTCTGAACCTTTCTCCACCTCTGCTTCCCGTTGGAATCATAACAACAACTTTAAGTTTTGGTTAAAATAGTAATTTAGTCTCTTATAATAATTATTTGTTTCAATTTAATCATATTTTTATTTTTTTGACTTAATTTGATCCCTAATAAATTAATTAGTTGTAATATCGGACTTCTGTCCAAATTATTTAAACGGAGTTAATTGTTGGTCATGTGGATGTCACGTAGAAGCATAGGTAGATGTCACGTGGATGCCAGATTTTTTGAAAACACCTTAAACCAGAACGGCCTGTTCTGGGTGCACTCTTGGTGTGTTAATTTTGCATCCGGAACGGCCCGTTCTAGGTGCAAAATTAACACACCAAGAGTGCAACCCAAACGCCAAAACGGGCCGTTCTGGTTCCAGATTGCTAAACACAAACGATTAATGATTATAGTTCACAGTTGTGAATCGTAGAAGGAAACAGACCCAAGGTACAAAACATTTCAAGCACTGAATTTGGTAATATTGTCAATAGAAATTAATAACTTCAATTGCTAAATACTTAGGCTATACAATGTATCACTAAAGACAATGATAGCATATTTTATTTCATTGTTAGTCAAACTGGAGTGAACCACTTACTACCAAATTGACACTATACAGTAAATGATGAAATGACATGGTATTTTTCCTTGAAGTCATTAACGATGTACCCCAACAACAACAACCTATTCTTGAAGAGGTAGAACCTGAAGTAAAGAAAGAGGATACACAGGACTAATATTTCACCACACAACCACATGCAGGGACGAATCTAAGTTAATCATAGTGGGGGCACCCCCACTAATTTTTTTTTTCATTCTTTTTATATATATACAATATTAATAATTTTATAAAATATATATTATTAATTATATTTTAATTATCTTGTTATATCTAATATAATAAATACATTAATATTTTTTTTTATATTTTATTTTATTGTTTAAATGTTTTTTATTTTGTGGTAAAATTATTTTTATTTTTAATGAAACAAAAATTTACTTACTTCAAGAGTAAGTCTTGATAGATTTATTATACTTAATAATTAATGTTCTATATCAAATTTTTAAAAATTTAATTGTTAAATTAAAAAGTTTTTCATGTATAGATCAAATTTATAAAAAAAATTTAAAAATTAAAAATCATATGATATTTCGTTAAATTAATTCAAAATAACGTATAAAATATTTTGTTTTAAATGAGTGTAAAAATTTAGAGGACACTAAAAGAAAAAAAATTAATAATTTTATTATGTGTATCCTATTAATTTTTTATCATTTTATTCCTCTAATTTTAAATAAGTTGTAAAAAATTATTAAGTGACACTTAAATATTTCTTCAGACAGAAAGAAAAAAAGGAAAAGTTATCACTCTATCTATAAGACAATTGTATTTTATAAAAATAAGTAATTTAAAATTTTTTACCATAAAAAAATATTTTTCAAAATTATTATAGTTCTAGAACAGGCCGTTCTGAATCCAGAATCGCCTGTTCTGAAACCAGAACGGGCCGTTTTGTTCCAGATGTTTTCAAAAAATTTGACATATGCATCTATGTGGCATCCACGTGACCAACAGTTAACTCCGTTTAAATAATTTAGACGAAAGTCCGACATTGCAACCAATTAATTTATTAGGAACTAAATTGAGATAAAAATAAAAATGAAACTAAATTAAAACAAATAATTATTATAAGGGATCGAAATAAATTTTTAGCCTTAAGTTTTTTACCATAGTAAGAGACAAAATAAATAATTAATCACCGTTTCAGAAAACCCTCGCGCGCGAGGAAGGAGACCCACTAGAATACAAGTGAAAAAAGAAAGCGACGATGGAAGCTTTCAATTTCACACGCAGAGGAAGCCCGTACCTTTAATTCTTACCTACCGCTGTAAAAAAATTTGCATTTCCTGATAGAGATTGCGAGGTTCCAGTTGTGTGGTTGTTGCAAATGTTTATTGAAAATTAAAAGGAGTTGTTGGTTTAATGAGATGGTAAAATAAGGTAATTGTCGGAAATTTTGGCTGTCACACGGAGATTTTGTTCCATTTTTATCAATTGTCTCCCTAAGCATTACCTGTCCGCGGTAATAATTCACCATGATTGCTCCCTTCCTATATTTAAACGGATAGCATCGTGACGAAGGGAAAATCTGAGTGGTTTTTTTGGTTACGGTAAAAAGAAACACTTTTCCGAAGATCGGAGACTTTGACTGGCGAAGGTGCTTTCCGGGTAATATTCTTGTTGATGAATTCGCATTAGGTTACAGTTACACATTCCTTTTTCATTAAATTAAAGAAAATAAAAAATATTCCCGGAAATTCAAACTTAAAGACGTGTTGAGCTGTTACCTTTTATAATTCCACTTTCTATTTTTTCAATTTTCCAACATCCCGGTCCCTAGGTTTTTAAGACAACGTTTGTTGTAGTTGTAGAAGAGAGGGGTCTGTTTTGTACTACTCATCCAAACAAGTCACAGTGTTCTCTCTCTCTGAAAATTGAAAATTAAGAAAGAAAAAAAAAGAAGAAAAAGAAATTCCCCGTATAAGGTTTCTCCGAATGTCACAATGGCTTAACGACGCCTCGCTTTTCTTGGTTCCTCCACGCGTCTGCCAGCGTCATCATTTGGGTTCCTGACAATGAGATCAAAGTGGTAGCGGCAACAGTAGTAGTCGAACTTGTGTTTGTCCTCCTGAAGAGACATTAGACATAGTTTGGGCGAGAGAGATCAGAGGGTGAAAATGGCGCCACCGTTGTTCAATTGGGGGGCGAAGGACACTCACAGGGGAACGCCGGTGGTGGTGAAGATGGAGAACCCGAATTGGTCCATGGTGGAGCTGGAGGGTCCCGAAGAAGAGGACTTAATCATAAGCGATTCCTCGAGGGAGAAAGGAAAAGGAAGAGGCAAAAACGCCAAACAGCTCACATGGGTTCTCCTCCTCAAAGCGCACCGCGCCGCCGGCTGCTTGACCTCCCTCGCGCCGGCATTGTGGGGGCTCGTCTCCGCCGTCAAGCGCCGCGTCGCCGCCGGAAAAACCGACGCCGACACCGACGGTGGCCGGGAGAACGAGAGCGCCACCGTGAAGACGCGCTTCTATTCCTGCATCAAGCTCTTCCTGATTCTTCTTGTTGGTCGGTGAACTATGTAGTCAGGTGTATCTATTTGGATGCTTTGAATCTTCATTTGTCACTCTCTTCTGATTTTCAACTCACACCTGCCCTATTTCCTCTTGACTCGTCTACTGTTCACTTGAATGTTGATGGTTGTTGGTTCTCTGATCAATCTCGTCTGGGCTTTGGTGGTCTGATCCGGGACGTATCAGGTCATTGGTTAGCTGGTTTCTCCGGCAATTGTTCACATGGTGATCCTTCTTTAGCTGAGTTATTGGCCATTCTGGAAGGTCTCAAGATCGCATGGCATATGGGATTTAAAACTGTTCAATGTATGATTGACTCCATGGATATCGTGCAGTCTCTTCTTCATAGAGATCAAGCTTACCTACACTCTCATGCTTCTTATCTCTTTGATATTTTCTCCTTGGTGGACAAACCTTGGACGGTGAACTTCCTTTGGATTG